GCATAGCGGGCATAAAGATTCATCAGTAATTCCATAATAATCGTCGTTTCCATCACTACCTTCTCGATATAAATTAGGATATTGATCCAACGTTTTGTTGCGAAAATAGGATCGGTCATAAGTTGGATTAGCTGGAGTATTTACCTTAGTTTTCGGTAAAGATTTGTTATCCTCACTTATCATATCTTCCGAACTAGGGGTATGGGATGATTCAGTAGGTATACTTGCCTCAATATTTGATACGTCTTTTAAGCTAGATGGTTTGGTCGTGTGATTTTTGTTATCACTCAGATTAAATCCGGATTTTAAAGTGGATTCTGTCACGTGAGTGCGAGACTTTTGGTCACGCACTAGTATTTTGGTAGTATAATGGTTTATAATTACATCAATTTGTTTATCAGTTAGCTTTGAGAGTTTATTTGCACTATAAGATTTAATTCGACTAATTTTATCTTCTCCAATTGCACTAAATAATTTATATATAGGTTTAGTTCTTTGAGTTCTTTTGCGTAAGCTTGCACGAGAAATACCTGAAAGATACTGTAGCATTTCATCATAAATTCCCCCACTTGCTAAATCACAAGCTCGTTTATCATTTCTTTTATTTTCGGGTAAATCATCAAGCCTTTTTTCAAAATGTTTTCTATACTTATACCAGCTTCTAATTTCCTCTACCTTAGCTTGTATAGTATTGATCTCTGCAAGACTTATTTTTTTGAATAGATGAACCAATTTGATTGTAGGTGAATCACCAATAGAATCCTCTATATTAACGATTTTGATGCAATCTTTTTTTGAAGTTTCTAGAAATAATTCCTGTATCAAAGGTTGTATATCTATTTCGGATTCTTTTATTTCTTGTGTCTCAGAATTTTGTTCTGAAGAGACACAGTCTCTAGGCTCTGCCTTTTCTAAATTTTGATCATTATATGATAAATTGGATGGTTTTAGTATAGGGTCTTGAGATCTAAGCTTTTTCCGATTTCTTTCTCTAATCTCATTGCTAATATGCTCTTTATGTACTCGTTCCAGAAATTTGATCTCTTTATTCTTATAAGGTTTAGTTTCTGAAAAAGTATTATCAGATATGTCAGAATCTGGGGCATCATTAAATTCATCAAAATTTGAAGCGTTATCAACTATATTATATACGAGAGTTTCATCACATTGTAAGTCTATCTGCTTAGAACTATTATCTTGGGGACTTCGTTCCAAATTTTCAGATGAAATATCTTCTGTAGAAAGTATATCCTGAGTATTAGTAACGATTTGATCTTTCTTTTTGATTTCTTCAATATCATTTCTTAATTTCATTACTTCATCTTTAAGGTTTATATTCTCTTTGTTACTTTGTTCTAGTTTCTTAATTCTAATCTCATACTCAGCTTCACGTTTGGCATTTTCTTCTATAGCCCGTTTTAATCTTGTGTTCTCGGCCTTGATATTGACATTCTCTCTTCTAAGCCTATCAATCTCGGCTATGAGCCTGGAATTTAATTCTCTCAATGAATCATCTTTAGATTGCATGTTTAATATCAATTTATATAATTTTATCAGCTCCGCTGACACGACCAAAAATGTTTGGAAGAATATTGAATACGTTTTGAAAATATTTTTTATTAATTAATGCCTTTAATTTCAAATAAAAATCACAAGTGCGTGACTTTTGGTCCCACTAATCACTTTTGCCAAGAAAAATTTTAAAATTCTCGATCATATGTTCATCGATGACAGTACAACACAATAAATAAATTCGCGAAATATACACGCAAAAGTAAACTGATTATTTATGTGAATTTGAGCCACCAGGGCCAGCTTTATTGATAACTGCCAAATCAAATTCCAATACAGCAAAAATACAAAAATGTGTGATTATTATTTTTTTATTAATAACATTACGTGCTAGATTAACAAATATTAGGTTATATTGCTAAACTTAATCGATCCACTCCTACTAAATTATTCCATTGGATCTTGCAATAAGCCTGTTCTCCAAAGCGTCTGATTCAACATGGCAAGATCATGAGTTTTTGTTACTAATTTCCCATCTTCTGCACCAACTGGCCATTTTATATGAACATGATTCATAAAGTGAGAATAACGTGCGGAACCAACCTCTCCAGACCACTCAAAATCGATCAATTTCACATCAAAATCATTGTTTTCAAATCGACGAATTAGAATATTTCCTTCACGCAAATCTCCATGTACATGTTCCAAATTATGTAAATGTTCAACCATCTTTTCGATTTTCACTCTTAAAGAATTTCGATCTTGATCATTAAGATTAAAGGCGACGCGATTTAACGTCGAATGATTGTCCAAGTATTCCATATAAACCAAAAGCCAATTTCCAGGAATAATTGAACTAGCAAGGACTTTTGGAGCATATCCAGCTTCTGCTAAGAGCTGATGTGTATTAAGTGAATATTTGCACTTTTGAATAGCCTTTATGTAGACTTTTTTAGGTGACCCTTGTTCGTTAGAAAGAGTAGCTTCCCAAAGAAGATAACCGTCAATATGGCGAATAATCTGAACGCTATAACATTCTCTATCAATTGTTACTTCAGGGAATAAAGGATGCTCAGGGTGGACTGTTCGAGGGTTTTTTTGAGCTTGCTCATCAACTTGGCCATAGTAATGATCAAGAATTTGAAGAGATTTCTTAAAAGCACGAAATGTTCTAGAAATTGACAACATCATTTCATCATGTTTCTGCCAAATGAGGGGAAAGACCGGAGTAAGTGGGTCAACAATAGCAACATCTGCAAACACTGCACCAGAAACTGAAAAATAAGGTCCTAAAGTGCAATCAAAGTAAGTCAAAAAATTCAGAAAAAATATATCAAATTGAATTTACTACTATACCTGCAATTGTAACTAAAAAGCATGGAAAATTAGTGACACGAAATGAGGGTTGATTTTTTTGTTCGTTGCAGAAAACTAAATAATAGCTACAATTTTCTAGATAAGGAGAGGTCTGAGAACTACACTCATCCCACTTGTACTCGAAATTAACCCCATGATACTTAAAAGTACGAGAATGGGATATAGTGCCGTCAGTATGTGCACTCTTTATATTGCTGTTATTTTTTTTGCGTTTAATCGAGATTGGTTGCACGGGGTGATCGAGATATTCTCTTAACATTTTATTTGCCTCATCCTGACGATCTTCCTCGTTCTCATAAATTTCGGCCATTTTACAACAAAAATTATATGTGAATTCGTTGTCTTCTTTTTCTGGATCTTCCTCACAGAAATCCTTAAATTGGCCAAAAATAGAATTATACAAGCTAACAGGTATAACTCTAGAAGCTTTTGGTGGACGGTGATTAAAACAACAGGGAGAATCTTTTTGTCGCTCGCCCCAAACCTTGGGATTTCCAAGCGTTGACGGTGGTGGTAAATCCTCCAACATATCAAGATATGATCTTTTAACACCTGTAGAACGAGACTGCGTTAGCTCAACTTATTTGCGATCAGCCAATAATTGATATATTGTACCTCTTTTTATGTCAGAGATTATGACCGGATTATCAATCGAACATTTGTGTATTTCAATGAAATCAATAAACTCCTTTTTTGACCAGCTAATATCTATTTCTTTATTAGAAATAGTAAACATATGAAGGTCCAGAGTGCCCCTGAGATTATCGAATGCCTTTTCCAAAAGGACATATAACTGAATAAGATCGTTCCATCCATCGGAACTAAAGTTTATAATTTGTGAATCAAGATACCGGAAGTATAAAGAAACTAAGAATAGAATTATTACACTAGTTAACGTAATGATATACCAAACATTTATGGTGAAATGAAGCGTGAAAATAATATATATTTAGTGGTATTTACCTTCCTCTTTAAATTTAGACGTCTGTAATATTGCTAGCTTTTCCTTCAATTCTTGCAACTCTTGATTCGATGCAGTCGTAGCTATATAACACGCGTATGAGGCCCAAGTTAATAAATGAAATTATTGCGGAGAAAGCAGTATAGGTTTGGAATATGAGTCAGAGACTCAACACTTTGTGTCTTCGAATGCAGTCGTGGCACTTACCCTGATCCTCGTTCTTAATTTTATTAATTGACTTAATAATTGTTTTAGCCGGCCCTCCTTTTAACCCAATATCGATGAGTTCTTTAATACTCAAGTCGAGGAAGGTTTCGCCTTTAAATTCCTGTTCACGAAGAAAATCGAGATGCTTATCCTCAAGTCCTAAGTTTTGTTTTTGTTTGCCCAAAAACTCTATTAGTTGTTCTGTTGTTTTACATCCTCTCACTTCATCGGCTGTAGAAAGAACTTTTTCTCCGGCAGTAGACATGGTTATTTACGTATTTAGTTTTTGGGATAGGACGAAAAAATTTTTTTAGTAAGAAATAGTCGTACATTCTACCTTTTTATAGTTTATACAAACAATCAGATTGTCGTACAACAGGTCACGTATTGTTACACGATAAAATGACAATACCGATATTGTATTTTTCGTAGTGACGGAAATTTATTTTTATTATTGTTATTACAGTAATTATTCGAGGATATAATAGATGAGTTAGGAACTTGAAACTATGATGAAATAGTGAAGCTTTTACTTAGAGCTTCTTTCCTTAAAAAATTATCACATTCACATCGTTTATATATCCTATCCGCTACTTTTTTGCACGTTTTGCTGTCTTATTCTGACCTTTCATCTTTTACAAAGTAAAAGGAAAAAATATAACGTGGCTAAAACTTTTTTATTATACAAACCTGTAATGCGTGGCACTTGTGCTTGTGACCCGTTTACGAACAAATTATGCATAGGAAAGGGTCATGATTTTATTCCTATATTTAGCAAAAAAATTTTTTCTTTTACGGACGCAGTAAGAAAAATTATTTTTGTGTGCCGTCTATCCGTACATGTTTATTCCATAATTTTATTAGTAAAAAATGAAAAAAAGATAAGTGCTTTTCATTTTGGATAGTATGAGGTACATATAACACGCTAATGAATTTCTTTGTTACGTGGAGGTTCTCTTTAGTCATGTGGATTTTTATTCGAAATCTTATTGGAAGAAGTGTGACATTTAATGTCACAGTTAAACCAATGAGATCTGGCAAAGTTTTGAAACAAAGTTATGGGTTATGCTGAATTACATGGTAGAATGAAAACCGGAAACTTTATGATTTTGGCTTTGAGAGCCGTGACATTAATGTCACACTACTTTACAAATAAAAAATCAAAAATGGCTGTAGCCCTTCCTAAAAGAAGTCTTTATTATCAAGAGTTACACGAAATACATGTAGCAGTAGGTACAATTTATTCATTTAATCTGGCAATAATAAAATCGACATCATCCGGGGGTAGATTTATGATTGTAGTAGCATAAAAGACTTTATCCGTTCTATCGCTTCTTTACCACCAACGTTACTAAAGAGCCTAAAAACCTTTTTACTCCTTTCCTTTCTTTTTTGAAGGTAAGTCTCGGTAAGTTTATCTTGTACAGAAATCTGATCCCTGATTCTATCATTAACTCGAGCATTAGATACATCCTCATTACAAGTTTTTCTAAAATGATTGAACAACTGCTTAATAGCTTGGCCAAAATTATAATAACATCGAATCAAATCATGGGTGGTTCTCTGAAGATTGTCTTCGGCAGTATCAATCTTATTATATAAATCAAGAAAATCAAGCGAGCTTATGTCCATCTCAGAGACACTCGACTGCAAAGTGATGGGGCCTTCAACTTGTTGATAGGTTGGTGAAGTCAATTCCTGAATTAATTTTTTCAATGTAGGAGAATCCTCTTTCTTAACCTGTTTCTTGGCTTTTTTGCTAGGTGATTTATTTTTAGAAGTATCCACAAATGATCTTTTGTGGGGGCTTTTAAATAGATTATCTTCACCTTCTCTATTATCTACATCTGACATGTCTTCTTCTGAAATTTCTTAAGGACTTCGAATATTATATTTTCCCATTCTTCTAACAATTGATGCCGTGCTTAATTCTGAATCCCGTCTAGAAAACTGATCAAGAATTTCAATACTTTTTTTGCAGTTTTTAACAGGACATATGTTTTCTTTGGTAAGTAAAATTTCTTTATCGATGCAAATTCTATGAAATACGTGACTGCAAGCTAGTATTGTGAATGACTTAATAGGACTTAAAAAAATTTCTTTATTACATAATACGCATTTATCTAGTTCTGGGAATTTTTCATTTTTAACAATAGGATCATCAAAATATTTTAGAATATTAAATGCGAGGTTTTTAAAATTAATAACAGATATTTTGTCCTGGGTTGCGGAAGCGTTATTTTGTTCTGACATAATAGAAATTTTATACACCGAATGCAAGATAAGTTTTCATGACAAAATTCCTTATATTTAGCTTATTTATATAGTTTATTCTTCACGACTAACAAACCCTTGATCTATAGATCAAGAAAAAACTAATTTCGGGCTTGGCGATCCATTTATTCACGAATTAATTAGTATAGGAAGGGATCGCATGCGTTTTTTGCGTAATTATATGCTATTTTAATCCCCTATTCGTACCTCACCAATGACCCATAATGGAATTTTATCATGTAGAATGGATGATGCTATAGTGCCCATCACATTTCGTAGGATCAGATCTGTAAATCGCTGGCGTAATTTCTATTCTTGTCCCATTCTAAGATCAGAGACATCAGATTGACTTGCGTAATGCTAATTTAAAGATTCGTAATACGCGTACTATGCCAGAACGTTCCAGAAATTAGTTGGCAGATTAATTATTCATTGATCTATTCCCCATAAATTTGCAAAAATACCTGCTACATAACACAGGACGCAGTTAAATCACATGACCTCATTTGCGGGACAAGAGAAGCTAAATAACCCTTTTTTTCGAGCTTGCGAGAAAAAAGATCTGGGTTACCGATATATCCGGACTACCGATATATCTGGCTTCGAGTGAATTAATCACGAGAAGGCGGGATTTTTATTTCACTTCGACACCGCCAATTATAAGAAAAAAATATTAATATAAAAATATATCTCTTAATTGTGATGAGTCAGAGACTCGTGGCTTTGCCACTCTCAAGAATAGTATTAGGAAAACGGTGGACAGCTACTCTCTTGATCCCAGTCCATAAAGGACCCTCTAATAATCTGCAGGAGATGGTCTACCGTATTTGTTTATTCTAAATTGCCATTGCTTTGAGCATCTGCTCTATTTCATCATCTGACCTTTCGCGATTCTCCTCTTTAGCTATTTGATAATA